CTGATTGTGATCACCTCCCGCCCCCGGTCGGAGGCAGCTGTGCGCTCGGGTGAAGCTGCTCCGCGGCCAGTGCCTGGCCAGGAGTTCGCTCCCCCCGCCCGCCCCTCCTGAAGTTGGGGCGCGCGCAGAGGCGGCTGCCTCCCGGGGGCTCTCCACCCCACCCAGCCCGTCTCTCCTCCTGGTCTCAGGGTCAAGGCGGGGAGATGCCGGCCGCGCGGGACTGACCAGCGCTGTCCTCGGGCTCCTGGCGACTCTCCCTCCGCGTCCTCCCAGCAGCAGGCAGCGCCGGCTCCTCTCCTCCGATGAGCCCTCCAGTTCCCTGACTCTGAGAGGCGCCTCTCCCCCGCCCGGCCGCCCAGATGCAGTTTCGCCTCTTCTCCTTTGCCCTCATCATCCTGAACTGCATGGATTACAGCCACTGCCAGGGCAGCCGATGGAGGCGCAGTAAGCGAGGTGGGTGCTTTCCCCCCCGAGGTGCGTGCCGCGGGAGGGCGGGTCGCGGCGCTCCCTCCCTCCGGTGTCCCTGGGCTCCGGGGAGCAGGACAGTGCCCCCCACTGCAGGGCACACAACCGCTCCCCACTCTCCGGGCGCGGAGCCCTGCGCGACGCTGTTTTCCCGTCCTCGGAAGGTGTGGCCGACCGGGGCGCCTCATGCGGGGAGACCGGCTACCTTGGGGTGCCCGGGGCTCCGTGGAGTGGTCCTGCCCAGGTTCGCCGCCGCGCGTCTCCTCCGAATTCCTCTCTCCTTTGGTCTCATTTCTTATTTGGCCCCCAGGTTCCTTGCTCTTCTCTGTCTCCTTTTCCTTTTAGTCCGTTTGACCGTTTCCCCTGCAGCCGTACCTCCCCCCGCGCACGTGCGCCCCAAATCGTGGCCCCAGATTGCTCTGGGCACGGCCGAACGGCGCGTGTGCGCGCGTGTAACCGAGGGCGCGGGAGAGCGGCTCGGAGGGCACAAGCGGCTCGGAGGACCTGCATTTCCAGGAAAAGGGCAGCACTGAAGGCTTTTTCTGGAGCCTCCGGCTGCATGAGCTGCTGCATGGAACTGTCTGCCTTGAGCAGGGGCTGGCGAACAGGTTTTCTGGGGAGCGCTCGCCAGTCCGGTGATGTTTTGGGGACAGGCCGGGCTTTGCCCTCGCCCTTTACTTCTCTCCACGAAGCAGCTGTTTCTGAGAGAGGTTTCTGGTCTCCATGAACTTCACTTGCGGCTTTTCAACCGCTCCCTCCCTCTCCATCACTTGTGTGAGCTGCGGAGTAGGCGAGTGGAAGCCTCCGGAACGGCTTCAGAGCGCGGGCTCTCCTGCAGAGTTAGAGCGCCCAGCGCTGCCTCGCAGCCCCGCTGTGGCTGTAGCTAATCCAACTGCGTTTAGGGGAAGAGCTGCTAAGAGCAGTAAAGTCTAATGCGGGATTTAACGCCCCCCGCCCCCAACCCTCCTACACCTTGCACTGCCCGCTCCTGGGAGGTGCGCAGCCGCCCTCCAGAGCCATCTAAGCAGTTTGAACGTTGGCGCGGTTAGGAGTTGCCTCGAGGTCAACAGATCTTGATTTCTCTGGGCTGTAAACGTCTCGCTCGACCTGTGATGTGATTTGTTTATAACTCGTTTTATGGAATCTCCAGTCCTGCATCCAGATTTTGGAGCGAGCTTTTGGCACCCTAATTTTTTCACAGTTTCTTTAGGAAGTCGTTAAGCTGTTCGCACCTACCCGCGGGGCTGGAGGCTGGCCCCGCCGAGGGCAGAGCCGGAGATAACTCGTGGCGTGCAGCCTCCCCCGCCTGCGCTCCAGCGGACGCTGCAAACCTGTGGGCTACAAGGAGGCTCCTCTCTCTCTCTCTTGCTCTTTCTCTCTCCTCTCTGACATTTGGAAATGCTTATTTTTAGAGACTTTTCTGTATAAAAATACTAGGGAGAAATGTCTCCCAGAAGCCATAAGAGTTTGATATTGATATTAGTCTTGGAAAAGTCCTCTCTGTCTCCCTCTTCTTCGCTCCTCCCACTGGCTCCTTTCTCTGCCCCAGTGTTTTCTTTCGAGGTATTATTTGGTTGAGTTGGCAATTTTTGATTACACTGTGGTCGACAGTGTTTGGAGAGGCTTCCCCTACTTCCCCCCTCTTAGAAGCAGAAGTTGCAGTCTACTGGGTCGAAAAAGTCAAGTGCTTAGAGTTTGAGAAATACAGAAATATCAGAAAACCCTCCGCCAAGTTCTTGCTGATGAGCGGACTTGCTAATTCAGGGATGTCTTTCTGATCCACACAGTCTGCCCGGTTGCGGTAGAGCTGGGAAGAATCCGGCACATTGTGTCTGTAGAGTTTAACGTGGAGAGTGACATTACAGCACTCCTGCGGCCAGAAGCGATACTGCATGCTTCTCTCCCGTGCCATCTCTAAGTCCTGCTCTGCCTTCTTAGGTATCCAGGCAAAGCCTCTTTATTTCAAAGCCGCTTTAGCAAAATCTCATACCCTCCACATCCCCCAAGTGCTGACATTTAGCAACCCGGTCCTAAAGTCTGCAGTGGTAACTTTTGCCAAACCGACTTTTCAATTTCATAAAATTCAAATGCTTTCAAGTACATGTAAATTGGGAGGGTTGTAAAGAAAAATAAAATTCTATCAAAGTGTATTTCCCTCCCCTCCCCCCACCTCTTTTTTCTTAACAGATGTCCCTTCCCAAACCCCAAGTTTCTGGCTAAAATAACTGCGGTCCTTAAAAGTGACCACACTATCTGTGCCAACAAAGGGGGTACTGTGTTTTTAATTAAAAGTGGAACTACTTAAAGGGCTGGCTAGACAGTGTAGGGTGATAGTAGCTATTCTGCTTTGCAAGGAAGCTTAAGGATTGCATTGTGAGAGTCTTGGAATGAATAGAGATCTAACTCAGGTTGTGTGAATTGTTCCTCTTCACAAACTTAAGCTGGTTTTAATTGATCTCATGTCCACTGATTGATCCTACACCAATTGTTGCGCATACCAAACAATTGGCTTCCCCCAAGGAGATGGATTTAAATGAGTTCCTTGGTGAGTGCCTGACTATAGGCCAAATCATGTCCGCAGTGACAGCTGACATGCTGGAGCCCATTGTGGTACCAACATTTCCCCTTTTCCCTGTGTTTTTGAATAGTGGCAGTTAAATATTACTTTCCAGGAAGAAGAGTGATTAGTACCTTAAAAAAAGAAGGTGTTGTGGTTCAGAAGATCAGTTCTGTTCTTGGCTTTGTGCTGCCATGTAGGCAGTAGTGATACCAGGATTGGTTAGGCTAATGCCTGGGATCTGATACTTTTTTTTTTTTCATATCCCATCTGCAAATAATCAGCCCTTCACTGTGGAGCATTCTCAGAGCTTCTTTGGCATTATGTTTAGTCTGCTCTATGATCTCAGATGCGCTATAATATCATTTTCTTAATGAAATAAAATTCTTGGCAGAGATCAGATAATTTAGTCAGTTAAAATCAATTGCATCCAGTCTGGAATAGAGAGCAAATATATCGTTTAACTCTATGTTTTATTTCAAAATATAGCCAGAGGATTTAGAGAATAGAATGCCGACCTTCCCCCCTTTTGGACAAACCTTTTTCTGGGGGAGACCATCATACGCAACCCCGAGTAATCTTTCTTCCCCTTTAGTTAGAAGCATTTCTAAAATAAAAGTGCATTTGATAAACACTAATAGGGCCCGGCAGCAATAATTTTGAAAACGAATTAGGCACGAACACAATACTGAGAATATCTTGAGGGGAGACACGTGTCAACGTTTTGAAAAGCTGATTGACAACTCCTGTGCTGTCTATATGTTAACAGTCATACCTCATTGGCCCCCCTTACCCACCTCCCATTCAAATGCATAGTCATTATTAGCTACTGTTAACCCCTCCTGCCTGCTTCTGTCTTTGGACCTCTCATGATTTTACTTGTATGGTAAACTGGTTTATTTGATTCGTTTTCTTTTTTGTAGTGGTTGTAAGCCACATTTCAGGCTGAATTACTGAGAGGTGGATAGACACATCATAACTTTATTATAGGCCCCTGGGATTTCTTGAGCCTGGCACATAGTGACTTATATTTATATCTCTCTCATTCTGTTTATATGCTCAGTCACATTTTAACCAGGGTTTTATGAGAACTTCTCGATAAAATTCTTTAAAAGCAGCAAGGCCCCCAAACCTGTAATTGGTGTTCCTGGTGGTCTGATGGTCAGGGGCACGGTGTAACAAGTGCTTCCTGCCGTAGCCTTTTCCATACTGAAGTGTGGGAGCATCTCATTTTCCTAAGATTAGATTTGGCTTCTTCCGTGAAACTGAAGTATTGATCACAAACTGCGTGGTGTGTTTCTGGCAACTGAGGTTGGTAAAAAACAAATGTTTTCTCTTAGACCTTAGAGGGCTAAACTAATTTGCATCTTTAAAAATGAAATGAAGAAATTTGGAGATATTTGCTTTTACAAATACTTTGAGTGATAGCTTATTCTTCACAGTATTCTTTCAAAATATGAAATGGCACATGGAACATATTAACTTGCACTTAAACAAAAAAGCTTCGAAATACACATTTTGTATGCTTACTTTCTTTAAGTTCCAGATATTTCAGAAAAGCTGATGCGATGTTTAACTTTGCAACATAAACACGTTCTTTCTTTTCTTTGGTTAATGGGCTGCTTTTTCTTTCCCCATGATTCTGGGTTTTTCCAGCTAGTGTCTTAGCAGTGCACGGGGGTCAGAAAGGCGCCATGCCCCAACCAACACTTTAGTTAGCTACTGAAATTTTGGAAGTGATTCAGAATAGGTGACGCTCTCCCAGGCCTCCATTTAATCCTGGCTTTCTGTATCTGCTTTTAATATCCAGCTTGGGTGGAATCCAATATTTGCAGAAATCACAAGTTGGAAATGACACTTCTAATTCCTTAATGCAAAACCACCTCTTGATCTAGTCAGAGACTAACTGGCCAGTTTATGGATTGTCCAGGCTACTTTTTACTTCTTTCCTCCCAAACGGCTGCCTCTTAATCCATCCTCCCCCACCCCCCGGAAATAAGTATTCTCACCCCTCCCAGGGCCAGGAAATAGGTGACAGACATCTTTTGATATCTCACTTGATCACCACTCTGCTGAAAGGAGATGGTAAGCTCTCATATGAAGATAAAGTTTTAAATGTTCCTTTTTAAAAATTATCGTGATATTCACTATTTTCCCTCAGGATTTGCAGCAATCAAGGACTCATCCTTAGGTAAATATAGTGTTACATAACCATGTTTATAAATTTTTATATTTTAGCTAGAATACATATGGAGGGTGAAATTAATATTCAAGTGCATGTATTACAGACCTAACTATTTATATGATAGGGCATGTATATCAGCCCACAGATATATGTGTGTGTGTGTATTTAGGTGTGTGGGTGTGTGTCAAGAAGAGGGGTGGGGATGGTATGACTATAAGGGATAGGGTTTTTGCAACTAAAAAGGGT